AAAGGGTGTTTATATTTTAATTAGGGAGAGATATATTAAACATGAAACCAGGTATTATTTGATTATAATTGTGAAAATTGTATCATAGTAGAAGTACAAGATACTCAAATAGAAAATAGAGTTCTGTCTAAAATTTATAAGGTAAGAGAAAACTTGTAGAAACTCAAGATTTAGTAAAATTAAGGGAAAAGAGTTGAAGAATATTCCAGGATAATGGAATACCCAAACCTTCTGACAGGAAGGAAGAGATAGGTAGGACTGTGGAGTGGAAAGTACATTAGAGTTGGAGTTCAGAATATTTACCATGGCGTTTCACCCTCATCCTATTTCATAATAAGGCAGATCGCCCCTCTAGAGTCATAAACATGTAGATGATTAATTAAACTTTTCCATTGTTAAATTTCTCTAGGGATGATAAAGAGAAAACTATGTAAATAACAATACCTCGAGAATGCCTAACACTCAATATTTAGATAAAAGAGATTGGTCCAGCAAATCAGAATGAGTACTTCAAGTGATAGGAAGAAGAACATCAGAGATCCAGGAGAGGGAGTAACTAGACATGTCAGATGCTGTTGGGTAGAACAAGATAAATTCTGGCAGGTTATAAGCCAAATTGAAGTTTTTGAACTGGAATGGATGCTGGATAGAGAAGAAAGGGGGGAAAAAAGAGCAAGAGCCCAATGCATATGGAGAATGTAGGGGGATTGGTGGATCTCAGGTCTCAATGAAGTCATGGACAAAGCTGTCTTAGAGATAGGATATTTGTCTGGAGTTGAGAAAATAAGTGAGAATAGGAGATGGCCACTTAGTAATTTGGGGGTTTGAAACATTTAAGGTGATGAAAAATTTTACATGTGACTTTGGTAGTGGAAGGCTGAGGTAAAGAAATTAAAAGTTCATTTGCAATAAAGAAATCCAATTGGAGTATTGAAAAAGATACTTATATATATGTGGATGTCATCTAGAATTATGGCTACACTGAAGCTAAAAGGGACAGCAATAATGCGGTTGCCAAAGTGTTTTTATGAAGGATGCGTGATGAGTAGAGATTAGTAGACAGATGATACCAACAAGAAGAGAGATGGTACACAGCTAGGTGGTGGGTGGTATAATTTGAGTAATGAATGTTTCCACAAAAGCTCATGGGTTAAAGAGTTGGTTCTCAGTTTGGTGCCATTGGAAAGTGGTGGTAACATTTAAGAAGTGACACCTAGTGGGAGGTTTTAGATCATTGAAGACATGCCCTCAAAGAGGATTGCAGGATGCCAGTCTCTTTTTCTCTATTTTGTGTCTGGACCATAAGGTTAATAGGCTTCCTCCTCCATGTTCTCCTGCCATGATGTGCTTCTGAACCACAGGCCCAAAAAACAACAGGACCACTTGATCACAGACAGAAACCTCCAAATCTGTGATCTCAAAACCATTTTTCTCTTTATACCTGATTTTTCTCAGGTATTTCGTTACTGACTAACATTATGGGAATATCAATTCAGCAAGGAGGTAAGGATGCAATGGCTAGCACTCAGGAAGAGGAGAGCATGAACCTGAGGATAACCAAGATGTAAAAGAATAAAGTAGTCATCCTCACTTGCAAGACAAGTGATGTCTTCAATGGAGAATAGGGATTTAGCCAATTAGTTAGAAACAATGTTCTGAAAGTGGAATAGTCAGTGAAGGTTGAAAACCATGGGACAAAGTTCTAAAGGCACAGTGGAAGAATTTGAGCACTAGGAAAGAGGTGAGAGAAGGGAGAGAGTTGGGAGTTAATGAAAGGCACAGAGCAATGAAGAATGGAGCACTGAGAGAATTTTACTGTAACAGAAAATAAATGTTTCAGTATGATGCGGAGATGCAGGGAAGTGGAAGGAGAGGCTGAGGAGGTAAACAAGATGAAAAATTGGAAAGGGTTACTAGCTTGAGAGAAAGCTACCTCCCTTTAGGTCACAGGAGCCTAGATATAATACATAAAGCAAAGAAATGGCTGGGTAATCTGACAGGGCTTGATGAGCAGAGACTCCAGTGTGGGGACTGCTTCCAGCAAAGAGGAGTTCTTAATGTCTGAAATATTAATATCTTTTTAAAATGTCCAATCTGCCAGAGGTTTGTACCATGAAGCACAGGACCTTTGTAATAATAACTGACCCCATTCCGACCAAGTGCTTATTTTCTCTCATTGGGCTTTCATGACAAAGGGTTTAAGAACTTTTTAGAATTCAGTATTTCTTCATTGCTTTATGGAATGTAAGATGCATAATTTACATGAACTGTTAGATTTCCCCTCAATGTTGTAATGTTATTACTTGAATTTGACATGCAAAGTCATTAAGTACATTCCTTCTTCAGTTCATTTCTCAATACTAAGAAACTATGATTTAATACCTAATAACTTGAAACTAATACATTTTCCAAAGATATCTAATTCAAAATCAGGAGGATACTTAAATGTTGGTTGAATCCATTTTTCTTCAAAATTTGTGTGATAATGTGTGCCTGACAATATATTTTAAAAGTCATACTGGCTGATAGATTTTTTCATTGGCTGTGGATAAGTCAAATGTAAACAAGTGTGGTGATTTAATTCTAGTTAATATCAACGTTCAAACTCTGATCTTCTGACGTGTCCCGGTAATATCACTAGGACACATTATCATTAGAAAAAGAATTTGAGAATTATGTACAAATGATTTACCATACTCTTATTTTAATTCTCTGCTTAAACAATTTAAGAAATTTTGTTTGAACAAATTAGAGTCTGAAATTAGGTCACTTTTATATTTGCGTTCTCATATCACACCCAGTGTCTGAGAAAATATAGATAATTGGTTGTTGAATGCACCAATTATCTACTATCACACAATCCTGGATGGCCACCAAAAAGACTTAATGACATACAAGCCCAAAATACACTTAGTTCATGAGATTGTGTTTTAGCCAGGTTTAGCCAAAGTGAGCTGGTTTCAGGTGAACTGGACAGGTTTTGCTCAAATTTTGAACAAAGTGTAGATAGGTGATCTGGTCAGGCCAGGGAAGATGGGAGCTGGTGCAGTTACATACAGTATTCATTCAAAATGCATTCTGCTGTCATATATACCTAATTAGAATGAATGAATGAATGAATGAGTAAATAAATGAATAACTTTTTTTAAAAAAGGATATGGAATGTTAATACCTCCAGAACACTTCTCTCCCTTCTCCTCACCTTTTACCAAGGTCACTAGGGAATTGTTCCTCCCAGCAAGCAGTTGTTAATGAATACCCTTTGGGTGGCTCCTTTTCTGCCATTTTGGGCAGATATGGAAAATAGGGAGAACTATCCCCTGATTGGCTTTTTTCCTGCCCTTCTGGTCACCAAGAAGGTGGAATGGGAGGAGGGGGCATTAGAAGAAGGGAAACCTGAAATCTGGACAAGACACCCTACTCTCTCAGGCACCAGCTCTGCACTCCCACCTCTCCAGAGGTTGCTCTCACTCTGGCTCTCGCTCTCTCTTCTATTCTTTAAATTAAACTTTTTGCTCTTGCCTTGGCATTTCCTGGGTGTTCAGTCTTCAACACCAGGGTAATAGGACTCTATCCTGATTCAAAATGTCTAGTTTCAAAATGTCTAGGCTCCTCTGGCTGCCAGTTGCCTCATGTTGGGCAACTGATAACCTAACCCCTCTCCATCTCATGCTCAGCCTCCAGCAGGCTAATCTACACAGGTCACGTTCTCATGGCCTAGTGGAAGTATAAGCATGAGCAAAACAAATTGTGCAAGCGTCTCTTAAGCCTCCATTTCAGTAAATATGCTGTTGGTCCAGAAGAAGCCAATGGACAAGATAAAACCCAGATTTAAATGGCTCTGCAAAATTTCATGTAAAGGACATGGATACAGATAGTGGAGAATTGGGCCCATCAGTGCAACCAGTCCCCTGCAGGGAAAAGCTCAGCAGATCAATCGTAGGATGACAAAAAAGCACCATACTAAGGGTCAGGAGACAAATCCCTGAGGCTTGACACTATTCATTTTGCTAATACGGGTGAATTATTTAATCACACTGAACTCTAATTTCCTTATTTGCCCTTTCCAAGCTTTAAAAGCCTTTGATTTTATACAATCAATCTTTAATTAATTTAATGCTATACTATTCGGTAGAAGGAACTTTAGAGAAAAGTTGCTCATTATTCTATCCTTTAGTGAGACAAACTAATGTAGATGGCCAAAATTGATGTGGCTAATTTTGACTATGAATCTTCAAATATTTTGTAATTACATTCAAACTGATATTCTTCTAGTCGGAATCTGGGTATGAATCAAAGTTCCTCAGCTGTATTTCTTATTTAGGTCTTCCTATCTGATGATCCTTTTAAAGTATAAAATATGTCAGTGGAATGTCAAGCACTATGACATCTCTTATGTGTGAGATGAGTTATAGGGGCCATTGATATTGTGCCTTAATAATTCATTTATACAATATAATTGATTTATGCAATGAATTATTATTCTTAAGCTGACTAGAAGAATTTCTCAGCTTTTCAAGATGCTGATAAAAATATATGTAAATTTCAAATAGATGTTATATTTTATGTAAAGAGTACAGATAATACAGAAATGATACCCACTCTTCGTTAAACAATATGTAACATATAACAAGGTCTGTATTATTTAACTATAAAAATAAAACCAGTTAAAATGCTCTAAATTAAAAATATTTTCTAAGCCTTCATAAGGAAAAAAGTAACACATACAAAAAAGTCTTTGAAAATGATTTTTTTGTGTGTGCCAAACAACTTCTTTTAGCCACTTAGATGGCCTTAAAAATTCTACACTTAAATTATCAAAATATATTGAGGAACTTATAATTTATAACTTACTTTGACATATAGACTGTTCTCTTTAAGACATACAGAAATGACTTGCCATATGATAAGTGTTTATCCTTGTCATATCTCTGGGAAACATTTATTTTGGACTGATAATTTACTTGTAAAATCAATCATGCTGGCCTGTGTCATTTCAGAGTCACCATGTAGGCATGTCCAAGAAACTTCACTCAAATCAAGCTGGCCTGGATTCAAGAGTACCAGTTGGTTGTCCGAATGATTTGGCCAATGTGGAGAGAGAGAAGAGCAAGCAGGGATCACGGCAGTAGTCAGCACCAATGTTACTACAGGTCAGTTAAGCTTACAAGATAGTGGTTTCAATTGTCTACAAAAGACACACCATATACAATTTCTTCCTACCATTTTGTTTGGAATACATGGCTTAGCCAAAGTGACTTCCTTGCCCTGAAATTCTCACTGAAGTTTTAAGTGCAGCATGACACTACACACTTACAATAATGATGGGACTCTTTATTGTTTTCCACTACCAATTTTTTTTCCCGCTCATTTATGTTTTTTGTTAGTAAGGAAGTATTTTCTTTTAAGATTGCTTGTGTTGTCATGAAAATAATATCTTGACATCTTTTCCAGAAGAATGAAAAAGAAAAATTCATGCCTTGAAAAGAGGTTAAAATAATTGAGATTTTTTTAAATCTTAAAAAGCATCAGATAAGAAATCTAATGCAGACTTGAATTACAAAGGTTTAGTTTATAGTGATGATGATCTGATATTCTTGCTGTGTACTGAGGGCAAAACAAAAACAAATGGACTTGTGAAGTTGATAGCATTCAATTAAGCTACCCAGACTCACTTCCATATGGTGGAAATTTGAGATGACTTAGCAAGGAAATAAGAATTTTCATTTCTGGCAATATTTTAGATACACAAACCAGCCCAGTATCTATTACACTTTATATTGAAACTTCACATTTAGTTTGAAGGAAAATTGAAACTGTAATTATTCTTAAGCATACAGTTTGTTCCTTTTCCCTCCTTATTTGGTTTTGTAGCTAGCACACTTTTTTCTCCAAGGACATGTAAAAGTCAAAACACTAGATATAAAGTCTCTGAAGTGTTTCTGCTCCAAACCCTGTCTGTACAATCTGAGCTCTTTCATGTAGTTAGCTTACTGGCTTCTGACACTCCTATAAAAATATCCCATAGAGCTGTTCTTATTACCTTTTCATTGACTCTCTCTGAGTGATAAAAATGAAATTCTGTAAAGGACTTTGAAAACCATGCATATTGCAATTCCTCCACATTTCAAATACTAATCAAGTGTGACTATAAAAGAAACAACCTCAGCGGTGAAAATTGCTGCCGTGTGTTGAGTCTCAAGCCATTATTAATTCATTGGAAACTATTTTTTTTTTCCTTTAAGATTATGGATCCTAAAAAATACCAGATAACACAATTCCTGAGATCAAAGTTTCTGTTTCAATCATAGAGAAACTCGGTATCTCATCTTTCCTTGCGTGTGCATCTCTGGGAGACTACAGCCAAGGCCATGGTTCTCTGTACTCAGTGAATAATGCAGAGTATGTCATAAACCAGGGAAGCACCTGCTTTCAACATACATCTGCAAGTGATGTTTTTAAAGACAAAAAGAAACTGGAATTAAAGTAATGGTTCTAAGCAAGTGAAATTTCCTAACTTCATTCAAGAGAGTAAAACAAAATGTCCGTTCTTAAGATTATTCCAATATGGATTTACTTAGAAATTACCCTATATGCACATCTGGGCAATATATTTACTTCTTTTCCCATTTTTAAATGCAATAAATTATAGAATCTTTCTTCATTATGAATTATATTTATGTGACAACTCCATACATAAAAATATAAAAGTAAAATAAAACCAAAACAAAAATGTTCAAGCTTTATTTTGTACCTCGTATAATATAGTATATGTGACTTCATGTACAAAATAACTAATTAAATTCATATTTAACATTACCTTACTTGGTGTGGATAGTTCATCTCTGAATATGCAGTAGCCTCCTTTGTGTTCAGAGTGGAAAAATAAGAGGCTCTCTCAGCTTTTCCTGTTTTTTTTTTTTTTTCGTGTGTGTGTGTGTGGTGTGTCAGGAATTAAACTCAGGCACACTTAACCACTGAGCCACATCCCCAACACTTTTTATAGATTTATTTTGAGACAGTGTCTCATTAAATTGCTTAGGACCTCCCTAAATTGCTGAGGCTGGCTTTGAACACACGATTCTCCTACCTCAACCTCCTAAGCAGCTGGGATTACATATGTGCCTCCACTCCCAGCTTCCTTGTAGACAAGAGTTGTTCATTTTCTAAGTTTCTCTTTTGGTGAGAATCGTGGGTTGCAGAATCTTTATAGCATATCAAATACTGAAAAAACAAAAATTTTAAAAGCTTAATTAAGGTGGGGTACTGTTTTTCTGATCGTGCTCCCTCAGATCCGTTCTTTCAATTAGATGAGATAGAACCTTTTCAAATATGCATCAATAATTACTAGAGGGAATTTTTTAATCAAGATATTCAGTGTAAACAACTTGGAGGGCTTGCTGTGAACAGCTGAACATGAATTATATAATAACAATTGACTCCACACAGCCAGAAGTATAATAAACTATAACTCTAGACCATTGCTGTCAGCTGAGCTCCTTTCACTAAGAAACTGATGAAAATGTTTCACCAGATCTCAGATGACCTTCTTCTGTGGGTCTTAATTCATTCTGATGGCTCAGTGATGCTCACATCTTATTTTAAGAACATTATCACTAACTTTACATGTTGTTTTGCCCATGAATAATAGTATACTTTTCTTAAATAGCATGAATAAGTGGCATGAGGGTAAAGTTCAGACCTTTGAAGTCTAAACTGAGAATCCTAGGTCTAAATTTTCTCTCCCCAACTTGCTGTGTACCAAGAGCAATTTACTATACTTTCTATGTCCTTATTTGTCAAATTCGGTTAATATACACCACAGGCTAATTTCAAGATTATTTTGGTTCAAATAAATGAAAGTTAGTATAGTCATCTGATAAACCCCAAAATAGTCATTGCTATAGTAGTTAACCACTGAGTCTTTGTGAGTTGATTGCTCAAGACAACTTTGCTTCCCTGTAACATCTCTACAAAGTGCTGGCTATAGTCATCTGATATTGTAGCTCTCAGTCCATGAGTTTCGGTATACAGGGTTTTTTTTTTTTTTTTCTTTCTTTCTTTTGAGAACTATATCCTCATGGAAACTGTATGGCCTTTGTTAATGCTATTGACATGGGAATGAATGAAAAGCCCTCTTTGGCAACATCTCTAATTTCTGAGTCTAAGAAACATTGGAGACACATGGATGATCTGATTCTCTCTAATGGACTATTTATCCTTCTTGCCTCAGAAGCAATATCTCAGGAAAGCACAAGGTTTCTTTGGTTAATCAGCTAAACAACTATTTTTAGTAGATAGCATGTGTTAAGTAGAAATGTTTGCATTAAGCTGTTTGGTACACATCCAGTTCCCTGCGTTGATTTGCAAATGGAAAATCTATTGGGAAATGTTCTCAACAACAACAACAACAACAAAGGCAGAATAAGAGAAGTATGTATGGGCAGAGGGAGAAGGTGAATCATGATATAGTCACAACAAAGACCTCAGAAAGTCCCCAAGGCAGTTGTGGAGTGGGGGTCTTGAGAGTTTTTCTCCAAAATTAGGGTAGGCCTCTATACCCCCTGCACCAGTCAATAATAAGGTACAGCTGTCCCTGAGACAGGGCTTGACTGTGCATAAGGTGGCTTTCTTAAGCCAAGGGCAAAGTCATTTGGTAAAAGAGGATTATTGCTTAGTTATGAGGAGGAGCTGGTTATTATGTGGGTCACTCAGTAATTACTACAATTGTTTCTGGTGATTTTTCTGGCCAAATAGGAGCCATTCTCATTTTCCTCCTTGTGGTTCCCTCTAGAAACCGAAATCTTTGCCAGAAAGTATGATTTTTTTAAATGTGCTTTTTTTCCCCCTGAATAAAATCTTTCTATCAAGCAAATTTTGTACTCTCCTGGTTCATTTTCTCTTTTGCAATTCCCTTCCTTTTGGAGTTTCTACTGTGTTCTTTGAATTATCCCAAATTTGTAGATGAAATCTTCCATAAATTAGACAAGTCAACCAGTGCGTAGAACCTTGAGCCCCAAACCAAAAAACAGTACCCTAAGTTCTAGTATCAGCTCTGCCAAAACCTGAATATGTAGCTTTTCATAAGTCATTTGCTTTCTCTGAGCTTTACTTTCCTCATCAAACCAGGAGGCACACAAGGTAATCTTCATGCCCTGTTAATTCTGAAAGCTTTTGATTCAATGGCCTATTCTGATATCAAAACAGGCTGAGATTATTGAGCTCAAACTGTCTCATCTCTGGGTAAAACTCACATATATATGATTCTCCACATCTAGGATCCTCCTTATTTTGGGAAACTAAACAGGTGAGAGGAAACAAGCTCCATAGGAAAGTACTCTGCTGAGGCCAAGAGGGGAGGGTAGAGAATAGAGAATAGATCTATAAGAATGTAAAGAAGTTTTTTTTACTGAGATTTAGTTTAATCTAAATATCTAATATAAACCTTTTTTTTTTTTTACTTATATAATACTTATATAATATTTTAGACATGGTGCCACAGGCTGACTAAAACAGAAATCAGTTGGGGTCAAAGCAAGACCAAAACTTAGCTAAGCAAACAGGTCCTAGAACTCTGACTCTAACTCTGTGTTCATCATCTAGGACACATGGCTACATGAAGTACTTTCAAAATGACTTGGGCAGCCCTGCCTCTTTGGTTTTGCTGGATGTAGGCACATGGACTCTCTTTTAGCCTGTCTGTCTCCACAGCCAGCAGGTTCTCTGAGAAGTTCACATTACTGGTATCTTTTCATTCCTGGGGTATCCATTCCAGCTTTGGCTTCACCTCCACAACTCATACATTGACCTCTCAGTGGCAGCTGATGAGGACTCCAACCATGCTAAACTTTGCCTGGCCTCCAAGGCCTTCCTTTGAAATCTTTATCGAAGCCTTCATGACCCCTTAACTCCAGCAACCTGCATTTCTGTAAAACCAGCACCATGTGGATGACAACTTGCACAATACTTGGGCCCCCTGGCATCCTATATGTAGTTGCCTCTGAGTGTCTGCTCGACTCAGTATGGTGAAAAGAGTTCCTAGGCCCCACTGTATGAGCAGGGAATCATTGTGATCTCATGATCTCCTTTTGGAGGGATTTTGGCTTATGTACCCTGGAGCCTGTGGGTGTGACCTTACAAATACCTGAGATGC